GGCTGAAGGTCTTTGCAAGGATCCAGTGGGAAACTCTGGTAACCTTATGATAAACCACCCAAAAACACAGGAACACGGTTCCCCAGCATTGAGGAGGCCATCTTGATCTGAGGTGATGGTCCCTTTTTCTTCCCACCATGTTCTTTCCAATATCTGATGACATAATATGTCTTAAACACCATTAATATGCTTCTTATAGGAAGATTTGGCTGAAGAACAATCTCAAGTGACAAGTATTTTAACCAGCTCACAGAATTGTCACCCTCTCCCACAGTGTCTCTGAGGGGAGGCACTAAATTGGGCATTAAAGCCCAATTCCTTTCCAGCTTGGCTCATCTATTTCCCAGAACATTCCACCCCACACCATTCCTAAATGGGATTCTATATCTGTATATCTGGATATAAATAGCTACAGTCTTGATCTGGTTTCTTCTGAGAAGGGAAGTCTGGCTTCCCTGATATGCCTCTTCCCTGGGCTAGTCCAGGATTAATGACAGCATCATGAAACGCGGCCTCTGCTTGGGTTTTGTATTTTAGGGTGCTGGGTCTGGGGAGGCCTGGCATTTAAATGCAGCCAGCATTGGCATTTCTTAATTGTAACAGGGCATCCAGCCACAACCAACACTGATTATGCCTAAATCTCTCTTTTTCGAAAATGCCAATGTTTCTTTTGTCTGTTTTGCAAATGTGGCTAAATGGGTGTTTAGCCCTGTGGTTGTATTATGCAACAGTTCCTGATTGTTTACTTCGGAGCCAAAGCACAGTGGCCTCACTGACCAGGAGAGAGAGAAGAGGGGCCCCAACCTTGTCTCATTGATTCTGTTCGTAGTTAAACAAACCACGGTAACTGGTTCATCCATTTAACCAATATTTACCGAGTGCTACTGTGAGTGCTGCATCCAGCCCGAAGCTGGAGTGGCGAACCACCCCGAAGGGAGGGCTCTAGGAGCTCTCACAAGAAACCTTTGCTTTCAGGTCTCTTCCTTCCCCTTGCTAGGACAGAACTGATGAAAATGTTTATATTCCAAGGTATACGACTTGGTTCTTGGGAGATGAGCGTGGTGCTAACGCTTGGCCACAATAAAAGAAAATCTTGTTATACCCTAAGCAAAATGATTCCTCTCAGGAGTGTGTGAACAGACAGAATTTAAGACCAAACAGAAAAAGACCCCACTACCACCATTCTCATGAAAACCAAACTATTTCTGCACTCCTATGACCACACCAACACCTGGAAGGAACCTGCTGTGTGTTCAGGCGTAGTCACAGTTTTGCCTTCAGGAGTCGACATTATTGGTGATCTCAGCTCCCTGAGGGGTTCTTTGTGGTCATCTCTGTGTTTCTGTGCCTGTGACCTTCTTTGTAAGAGCACCCCAGGGTTGCTTCGCCTGATCCACTGAGGGTGGCAGCAAGTACCTGGGACCATTTGACCCACTACTCCGCCTACCCCCACCTGCCTGGGCAGGCCCGTAGCTAATAACTGACTGGCAGGGGAGTCCAAACACCTAGCTCCTGTACTGCTTCTGTGCCTTAAGGTGAGACAAACCACAAGGTGTAATGTACTCCAGAGATTCTCTCAGGATCATGCCAAAGCTGGGACACTGTCGGCAAGGGCTCCTTTGCTTGGCTTCCTTCTGTTCTCGCTGTCCTTCTCCACACTCCCTTTCTGGTTTCTCCTGGGAGCACTGCCTTAATAAATCACTATCACATAAATCCCTGTCTCAGGGTCTGCTTCTGAGCAATCCAACTGAAGACAACTTCCACTAGTTTATGAGCTATTTTTTTTTTATCACATCTGCATAACTACACGCCATGTACTTAGAGGAATCAACAAATCATTGAATCAGGGAAAGAGGGGGAAAAAGGAACAAAAATTCTCTGTATTTGCAGCCCGGCTGAACTTACTTGGACTTGAAGACTCAACATACAAAATATCACAGAATGGCTGGAACTTGAGGGTAACTGAAGGTCATTTGTTGCAGGAGAAAGGGAAGCTCAGAAAGGTAGAGTAATTTGAAACTACAGAGTCATGCAGGGCCTGAATCTTTAAGTCCCAATCTAGGGCTCACCTTAACGTATCCATGGAATGGCAAACATTAAAACAGTGGAGAGGAAGGGACTTGTCTGTGCTAGTTGAGAATGTTTTTAGAAAATATAAAAATAACAGGACTAAGGCCAATGTGGCCTTTTTCCTACTGTTATTTCAGACAATTGCTATTTTTATATTTTATGATATCATCCTTCCATAGCAAAACTAAAACTCTGCTTTTTTCTGACTTAGATCTTCTTTGGTGGGTGCTGGTCTTGGTATAGAATACTTTCTCTCCTGAATTAAAAGCAGGCATAGGAGCTATATGGCTATTTATCAGAGTGTCAGTGCTGTTTTTGTTGCTAAACTAATTGTGTTTTTCACATTTTGTGTTATTTTCTTTTGCCTTCTGGAGAAAAGATAAACAGATTGGCAGGTAAATAATGCTGATCAACATAATTTCTGTTTTCCCAGAAAAAGTATTTACGGTGAAGACAACTGTGGCCATGGCCCCCATATCCTGAACTCATTATCCTTGTGAATAGCTTTTCCAAAACCCTGGGCTTCTTATGTTTTCTTCACAATTTAGGCATAAATGCACATTACATTATTAATACTAAATCTTTTTAAAATAATGGATTTGAATGCACCTTTCAAACGTAGCCTTATTCCAAGTAATTATATCTATAAAATCAGAAATGTTATGGCTAATTATGTTTGTCTAATATACGTTAAAGTAGTTACACAATTGCTAAAATTTATAATGCAGACTTCCATCTATCATCCCCCTAAGCTCATCTGGACAGCCACTGAAGGAGTATGTGCTATACTGGGGAATTCATTGCTATCGATATGGGGCTGAATCACACACCCACATTCTTGCCTATGTTTCTATATGTCTGGCCCATGTAGAGGGTGCAAGCATAGGCAAGGCAAGCTTTGCAAAGAGAGAGTCTGAGTTTGAGCAAAATCTAGGGTGTGGTGGCCCAGGAACAGAAGTAGAACATTTAGGGTGTGTGGAGGTACCTTTATCCTGGGATCTGGAAGCCCACAGGACAAGTGATTTCCTGAATCACATGTTCATACTCATTCGTTTGTAGTTACCTTAAAGCTGAGAGGAGAACAGTGTGGTCAAGGACTTTGAAATCCCATTATACTAAGGATGACTGAAGGTATGAAGATCTTTAGCTTGGAGAAAAGAAAACAGAGGATGACTCAGTAGTTACTGCAAGGAATAGATACTAGACTTGTTCAATGGTAGCCAATAAATTGTGATTTCACTTACAACTCATTGGCGTGAATGTGTATTAGTTGTAATCTGTACCCTAGAGGTGGTTAGTAAAACTGCCAGTACCCTAAGCAGGGATACAGACTTCTAGGAGAGGCAGTTAGCATTTGAAAGAGTTATATCAGGAGCACACATTCCTGAGAGAGCTACTGTAAGTGCTTCAACTCTGTTTGCCTGTGATCTACGGAAAGTGTTACTAATTGACATAATGGATGTTAGGAATAATTTTTTATTGGTGGAAAGTGTTCAAAAGATAAAAATTGTCTAGAAATACTGTAAAGGTACTAACATCCCACATAATATAAGCTGTGTGTGTGTGTGTGTGTGTGTGTGTTTGTATGTATCTGTGTTTGTATGTTGTGTGTAGTGAGTCTGCGTATGCCATTAACCCAAGGCTTAAAATTGCCCCTTGATTCTGTCATGGTTAGAGGAGTTTCTTGACCCGTTCTCACTGGTAGGGCTTTTTAAAACTCAGATTGCTGATGTAGTATGTGATTCTGGGGTAGGGCCTAGCAATTTGCATTTCTAAGATTCTCATTAGTTGATGTTGCTGCTGCTGGTGGTTCAGGGTACACAGTTTAAGAACCACTTTTTTGTTTGTTTGTTTTAATCTGATCTGACTGCAAGGTCACCTGAATCCTGCCACTAGAATATTATGTAAGGTGCTGATTAGAATGCCCAAATGAACAGAAAACAGGTACTACATTGTGTTTATGGAACAAATTTCCAACTAGTATTATGTCTGCTTGCTAAGAAATATTTCAGTGAGGGAAGAATCCATCCTGAGGCTTGTTTTCCTTTAACATAATACCTAGTTCCAACGTCATGAGGGAGAAGACCTACGAACTTCACCTACTTCAGCTATGTCTACTAAAATAATTACTAAGAATTATCAAATTGGCAGAGGAAAATTTGCGACAGACTCCAAGGAATAAAACCATCAGCACTGGGAGGAAGTGACAAAAGAACTTTCTAATATCTGTCCAAAGTCTGGGTTAGAGGACTTGGAAGAAGTGAGTTCCCTATTTCAGGAAAGGCTAATCAACCAGCTGGTAGCCTTTGATGGATATGATTCATTTATAAGATGGGACACTGGATCAGGTGATGTGTAAATTCTCTTCCAAACCTGGGGTCTTTGGCTCTATGAAGAAAGCCAAGGCGGATGTATGGTATTGATGACACAAATCCAGGACCCTTCATAAGAATGAGTTCTGGCTGGGCACAGTGGCTCATGCCTATAATCCTAGCATTTTAGGAGGTCAAGGCAGAAGGATTGCTTGAGACCAAGAGTTTGAGACAAGCCTGGCCAACATAGCAAGACCCATCTCTACAAAAAATTTTAAAATTAGCTAGCATGGCAGTGTGCACCTGCAGTCCCAGCCACTTGGGAGGCTGAAGTAGGAGGATGGCTTGAGCCCAGGAATTAGAGGCAGCAGTGAGCTATGATCACATCACAGCATGCTGGCTTGGGCAAGAGAATGAGACTCTGTCTCATAAAAAAACAAACAAACAAAAAAAAACAAACAACAACAACAACAACAACAAAAAAAAAACAGGAAAGAAAAAAAATTCCTGATTAGCTGGTCTTTTAAAATGGTTCCTCAGCATCACATTTCACCCACAAGACTGTCATGGAGATTAGAATGCTGATGGACCTAATTCTTTCTATCCTTTTTGGAAAAGGTTTGCCTTGCTGCAAGAAACACCATCTGCTCCTCAGTGTTACAGGATCCACTGTGGAAACAAGAAAGACATTTCCTAAGCCAGCAAACTCCTAGGAAGGAGTATTCTCACTTGCATATTCTGCTTCCATGGAGGTGAGAGAAACAAAAATGCCAACCTAATTGTTGTTCCTCAGGTTAATCTGATAATCTCATATCAAAAAACACGGGCATTCACCCTAGACCTCATCATTATTATCACCTCTGCTGAACATATATATATATATGTGTGTGTGTGTGTGTGTGTGTGTGTGTGTGTGTGTGTGTATATACACACACACACACACACACACATATCACCTCTGCTGAACATATATATATATATCGCTCTCTCTCTCTGTGCATATATAGCCTTAGTTAACAGTTCTGGTATGTCCCTCTTTGAAGAAACCAGGACCTATGAACACAATCCCACTCTGAAAAAAACTTACTATACATCAACCTACCAAGCAGTTAAACTAACTCAGAGACTCGCTGGAAAATTATTTGTTCTAGAAGTGAATTCATTGCAGGGTTTCTTTAAATAGCAAAGCTACTAACTTACATTCTAGAATTTTATATATCATTAAGTACTTGACACAGGGATGATTAACAAAAAATATAAAAAGGTCCCCAGCTGAAGTGTCAGGCATCCCAGCTGATGGCAGAAGAGCTCCACATGATGATAAAGTATCTCTGAAGTGATTGTGGAAGTCAATTAGGACAGAAGACTGATTGGTAAAATTGGATTTACCCAAATATCTAATTGCTTAAGGTAAGTAACTACTGTGACTGTAACTACCTTAGTGTGAAAATTTCACTTCCTCAGTTGCTCAATTTGGCATTCCCTATCATTATCAAGAAGTGGATTTAAAAGGCCCTTGGATTAGACTTTGTAGGCAAAGGGCCTGGAGATGTTTGTAAGCCGCATAGAGAGCATGTCCTGGGAACATTGGGGGAAGGAAGCATTTTGTGGCCAAATGCTAAGATGTTGTTGCTGGATCAATCTCCACTCAGTGTGCGTTTTCTAGGTTCACCTCTATCACTAAATCCATGTTTAATCATGGATAGTTTTCAAGGTACCCTTTCAAAAAGTTAAAAACATGAGTCTCATAAAAATATAGAAGGAGTAGGTGATGCAGATTTATTAACTCATTAACAAGAGGGCCCACAAGATGGTAAGGCTGGTTCAAAGAGAATTCATACATAATGTTGGAATAAGATTACTAACAAATACAAAGCTGGTTAATATCTTACAGAGCAATAAAAGTGTAACCTTTGCAGTTGTTTTTTCTACCACATAGAAATCATTTAAATTTAAATTTTCATCACATAAGAATCTCTAAATTAACAAACAGAGTCTGGACCCCGATCAAAGTTGAGAGTATGTCAAAGAAAGAGAATGGGATAATCCTTGAGTGGGTCCATTAGATGATGCACCAGTATGTCAAATGAGAGACATGCAGCCATCATTTTGCTTTATTTCCAAGTTATGGATATTTTTTCTGAATAATACAAACAGGTAAAGTTTTCCTTGGGCACTATGCTATGAAATTTGTTGGCCTAGTAGGTGAATTTTTTTTTTTTTTTAGACAGGGTCTCACTCCATTTGCCCAGGCTGGGTTGCAGTGCTGAGATCTTGGCTCACTGCAATCTCCGCCTCCTGGGTTCACACAATTCTCCTGCCTCAGCCTCCTGAGCAGCTGGGACTACAGGTGCATGCGATCATACTGGCTAAGTTTTGTAGTTTTAGTAGAGACAGGGTTTTTCCATGTTGGTCTAGCTGGTCTCAACCTCCTGACCTCAAGTGATTCACCTGCCCCAGCTTCCCAAAGTATTAGGATTACAGGCGTGAGCCCCCATGCCTGGCCAGGTGAACTTCTTTTTGCTTTGGAAGGTTGAATAATATTTATTATTTCTCTTAGTGTTCTCAGTGAAGAATTTTGTTTTCCTTTTTTTAAATTGTATACCTATGGTTCTCAAATCTGAAGGGGTACATTAAAATCTCCCGGGGAGCTTTAAAAAAAATTGATGCCTAGGTGACACTCCAGACCAACTCAGTCAGAATCTCTGAGAATGAATCCCAGATGCAATATATTTAAAGCTCCCCAGATGAGTTTAATGTGCAGCCAAGACTGGAAATTAATGTACTATTTAGAATCAGTATACATGTATGTATGCATATACATAAATTAATTTTTAAAGTAGAATCAGATATGTGTATATTATCCTGTTTTTTCTTTTATAATTAACTGCATTATGAAAATTTTCATAATTATGTCATTGCTCAAATGATTTTTTTTTTTTTTTTTTTTTTTTGAGACAGAGTCTTGCTGTCTCACTCAGGCTGGAGTGCAGTGGCGCGATCGGCTCACTGCAACCTCCACCTCCCGAGTTCATATGATTCTCCTGCCTCAGCCTCCTGAGTAGCTGGGACTACAGCCATGTGCCACCATACCCAGCAGTTTTTTTGTATTTTTAATAGAGACAGAGTTTCACTGTGTTAGCCAGGATGGTCTCGATCTCCTGACCTCATGATCTGCCTGCCTCAATCTCCCAAAGTGCTGGGGTTACAGGCATGAGCACCTGGGGTGTTCAAGTGACACCCTGGTCCAATTCAATCAGAATCTATAAGAATGAATCCCAGGATGCAATCTGACATTTTTGCCTCAGTGGCATTTTTAATGACTGTGTACTGTTCCCTCGTATAACATATCAAGGTTTGTTTGGCTAATCTCCTATTACTGAATGTTTAGGGTTGTTTTGTTTCATCTATCCTCTCCCTTACCCATCCCTTCCCTTCCTTTCCATTCCCTTTCTTTTTGCCATTATAAGTTAGGCTACCGTGAATATATTTACATAAACATTGCATCTACATCTTGGATTATTTCCTTATAATAGATTCCTGGGAGTGAATTTCTAGGTCAAAGAAAATAAATGATTTAATGACAGCTGAAGTATATTACCAAAATGCTTTCTACAAAGGCTCATCAGTGTATACTTTTAGCTTGTGATTTCTTCAATATTTTATCTGTAAAATATTCGCATATTCCAAAATGAGTTAAAAATTCATTTTTTTCTAGTTTTCTCAGTGGTCATATTTAATTCAACGTTTTAATCCAGCTAAAAATTTGTTTTAGTGTTCATATGGAAAGAATGAAAGCTCTAATCTATACATTTTTAAACAGTGCCTTTTTCAACATCATTTATTGAATAATTCATTCTTTCTCCATTAGTTTATGACTCAGAGAAGTTTAAAATAAAATATGTGGGTTACCTAACGGTACTCCGTGATAGTGAATAGACTCCAAAGATGCACATGAAGAAGGTTTCAACTACTAACAAACTAGTTTAAGCACATTCTTGCCTAAATCTTAGCTATTATTATTTCTTAAAGATACCTAGTTCTGATTTTAACTCTTACTCATTTATAGAACACTTAGGTGTTGAAAAACAACACAAAGCTCATCCTCTCTAAGATGGCTTTAATCCGTCTGCAAGCAGCTTGTAGGTTTGCCAGTAACAGGTCTGCCTAAATCCATCTGTTCTACTTCACATGTTCTCCCTCTGGAACATTGTTTATACCCTTGCATTATCTATGAATAATGGTTTTTCGACATAATGTTGATTTATTATCAATTCTGAATTTAATGGAATCCATTTTTGTAAGTTTTGTTATTATGCATTTATTTCTATTTTTATAATCATCGTGGTCTCACAGTTCTGTGCTTAATAGCCCTATGTAAAATCAGTAAATGAAGCCCAAGATTATCAAAGCCACATTAACAAAGGAAAAGGAGGCTAGAATTTTAAATCATGTCCAAGAAAACAGAAAAATGTTCAATAAATGGGGGACACAAATCTTCCCACCCACCTGATTCCTGTGTTAAATCATAGGAAAGGTAGATTTGCCTACTAATCTTTTTAACCAGTTGTACTTCATCAGTAACTGTAGTTCTCAAGTTGTACTCTTTATTACCTTTCTTCAGCCAAAAACCCTTCATTTTGCATCTTCTATTGCTAGGTAGTATATAGACCACTCATGATTAAGTGTTACAAAGAGGAACAACAGGCCTAAGTGAATTCCCACTCCAGAACCGTGAGTTGGCAGAGGAAATAAATTGTGTGTGCATGTGTGTGTGCGTGTTACTATTCCAGAAACTTGGAGGAATTTACCCTGACCCATTCACCCTCTCCCACCTAGTCTCTGTATTGCTCAAAGAATTACTTGCCCATTGGAGGGACACATGCAAGATGGTGGACAATACTTAAGGGTGTCACTTGTGGCCGGGGGAGCAGGCATCGTTTGATGGCCTTTTAAACAATCAAAGTTTGAAGTGCTTTGCCACATCAGTGAGTCTGTGTAATACTATCCAGTCTTTTGGAAACTTGGCAGGTTGGTGGTCACAACTGTTATTCTCATCCATGGGTCCACCTGGACCCTGGTATTTGGCAAACTCCAACAGGCAAATTTTCAGATCTTTTTCTTACCCAAAGTCTAGCTATGGACTGTCCTAATGTCTTGGGGGAAGGAATTCCTCTGTATCATTTCAAGTACCTTAGCCACAAATGGCTGGGCTTAGGAGTCCCATGTGTCCCATAAATCTTTTTATTTCAGATGAAGAAAGTCTGAAGGTTCAGACCCTTTTCTATGGCAGCCGAGCTGTAGGGAAGCTAGGGAGACTTTCCGTGAGGTCAATGAGACACAGACAGGCTATATCTGCTTTGGAAGAAGTTCATGAAGGTCCGAGATTGCCCAGTGCATTAAAAAATAATTTTCTAGACCAGAGGCAGTTATGCGTCTCCAGCACTTTGCCTTGGGGGAACTGTTTTTTCTTTGGAGGATTTGAATTGCTATTTTCTCCATTTACCACAAGGCCTGTGTCTTCCTAACCAGTTTCTCCTCCTGCTCCCAAAGTGTTTACAAAGAAGATATCTCAGGATGGGGCAGACTGCTCAAAGTTCTGTGTTTCTAAGAACTTCAGAGCAGGACCATCCTCCTTTGGGATTCCACAAGCTATGTGCAGAGAGGCACTTCTCTATTGGAGGTGCGAGTGTGGGGAAAAGGAGAGCATTCTGGGTTTGCTGCTTCTAAGAGCCAACCCTGAACCAAGAGT